ATGAAACAGACCTCAAGGAGCACTAGGATCGGTCTCGGCCGGTATGGGGGTTTACGAAATTGGGGGGTCCCCAAAAGCAGACCCCCAAATAGTAGGATTCCGATTTCCTGAAACTAAGGACCCCAATAAGGTACCCCCTTTCTAGTTGCGGAAACCCCCGTATGCCTCGAGAATCAAAGAGAGCCTCGACAGCCTCTTCTGACAGGCTCAGCTCGTGGGCGCGCCAGCTGACCTGACCGCCCCCGCGGTCAAGGAGAAGAAGGAGGAAGTCAAGGATCGGCTGTTTAGGGTTTAGGGTTTAGGGTTTAGGGTTTAGGGTTTAGGGTTAAGCCCAAAAAACACATGACATGGACTGTCTTGCATCCCTGCAGTGTTTCGGGGCTGCTAGGCAGGTGGCAAAAAACAACCCCCTAAAAACCCAAAATCCCATAAACCCTGGTTCGCGCTGCCTGGGTTTCTCATGCCTTCCTTGTGGCCCAGGACGTGCGGCCTGTCCCAAGTCCGGCCGCGCCTCTGCAGGCCGACGGTGTTGCTTGGGGCACTCAGCTTTTTCTCATATGGGGGTTTCCGAAATTAGGGGTACCCGGCTAACTGCAGAGACCTGGTTGCAAAAAGGGGTACGGTATTGGGGTCCTTATGGTAAGGGAATCGTATTCTTTTGGGGTCTTTATTGGGAGTCCCTTATTTTCGCAAACCCCAATGTAGTCTGTAGCTCTTTGGGGGGCAAAGGGCGGAATATGGAACTTGCATATTCCGGGTGTGTTCCGTGTGCTGATGGACGCTGTCGAAACAGTTATTGTCGTTACTTCGCGCACATATGCTGGCGTTGCCACATTTAAACAATCGCTTTGCAGCCCCCACGAAGGCAATTTGTCAAGTGCAAAAAATGCAGGATGCCAAGTGCATCGACGCTTTGGGGCGCATCGAGGGCCGAATGACCGAGTTGCTCACTTGCATGACGGAGCTGGCCGGAAACTTGAAGGAGCCGGAACTTGTTGCTCTTCGGTTGCTGTCGGGATTTAACTAAAGACCCATAGACCATGCAGTGTGAGCGCACAATTTGGGTTTCGATGGGCTCGCACCAGAGTGTTTCTCGTTTGGTCTCCCAAAGTTGCAGGTCCTCAGGTGAATCCTTCAAAGCGACCCTTCAAAACCCTGAGAAGTCCAACGAAGTTCCTTGGTGCCAGGACATCGCGCACACGGATGGTGTGAAGAAGAAGGTGCTCTTGACACTTGAGTCATCATCCTGGGCTGGTAGACCATTTCATATGTAGCAGGCAAAGGATGCTGGGCATTTGCCCCTGCCGTCTGTCACACGTCCGAGCTACAGCGCCCTGGCGTAGGAATGCGAGGCCTAGACAGCCTAGATGCATTGACGCAGGAACCGATGAGAACGACCACGGTGAAAGCCAAGGCAGGTCGTGAGTCGGGGAGGGTGCAGCTTCTGCCGTCTGGTTTCTACTCCTTGAACCCCCCACACTTGGGGCTGCTCACCCCTAAAACGAACAGCAGAATGCCCCCCTACTACAATCCCCTGTGAAGGGACTGTTCGTAAAACGGGGGAGCCTCCCCCACACCTTGAGAGGCCAAGAAGGAGTCCAGTGCAGCACCGGCCCAGCCACCAGTACAGGAGCACGAGGACTGGAGAGGGCAACCAGGGCTCAGTGTGTTTAGGGTTTAGGGCCGTTTAGGGTTTAGGGTTTAGGGTTCAGGGTTTAGGGAGTTGGCGGGATCACTGTGTGATGGCACTCCAACTGAGTGATTCGGTGTCAGTTTGGGGATGTGTCTCTCTGTCTCAGTCAGTGTGTGTGTGTGTGCTCTGTCTCAGTACCAATAAGCTGGTTGCAATCCTTGATGTACTTTGGGTGTTTCTGGCTGGCAGAAAAGCCGGCAGGATCACGGCTGCCCAAGTGCCTTATCGCGATTCTTTGTAGCAGATCTCCCAATGTGTGGTGATCCCCAATACAGATGTACATACATATATTGTTGTACATGTATTGTACAGGTTTGCATACTTTCAAACATCAACATAACTATAAAACCATGCATAAGTACATACATAGATACGGACTTAAATATTTAAGTATACAATATAAGTATGTATGTATACATATATAAATATATAGGTAGATAAGTATATGCATATATATGTATATAGATTCAACAGCAGAAACATAGAAACAAGCAGTTAAGTAAACTAGAAGTACATTGAAATCAATGATACATACATATATATATATATATATATATCTTTATAAATATAAATATACATATAGTTATAAATAGATAAATAAATAAATATAAACATAAACAAAAAACATAAACATAAACATAAACATAAATACAAATAAATACATAAAAAGAAAATTAAATTAAAACATATATATATATATAATAAGTAAGTCAAAAAAGATACCGGTCTACATACGCATATAGAAAAGTGCAAAAATCGTTCCGCCCGCAGGAGACTTGATGAGCATGCGCCCACGCTAACGTAAGGGAGCCAGGATCAGAGTTGAGGGAGCCCTTAAGGTTGTAAGGTTGTAAGGTTTAGGGTTTAGGGTTTAGGGTTTAGGGTTTAGGGTTTAGGGTCGTGTTTCCCAGAGGTATCTGATGCTGGTGCCTTGTTGCCCCTTGTCAACTCTGAGCCCAGAGAAGCCTGGCGAACCACGTGTAGATTCTGTCAAGCCTTGGTTCGGATCGTTTCCATAAGGCTTGGTGGTGACGGGGGTCGTAAGACCCCCAAACGGTCACCTTGCCAGGTGTTTGCAGGGAAACGTTGATCGATCCGCGTCATGGAGCAATGATTTCATGGTTTCTTTCAGAATTGCAAGCCTTTGTCCTGGTTGTAGGGCCTTAAGGCTACCGTATAGGGGCAAGGAGCCGGTAGGGCTTCGAACCGGGCCAAACTCAAAGACCACAGCCTGCAGCTGGATCCTCGAAGAGGATGTGCCAGTTTGTCAGGTAATCCTGTTATGAGTCCGTGGTTACTCCATCGCTGGGAGCCGACGCTTCGCTTTAGTTGTGTTGAGAAGCCGGTTCTTGGCAACTTGATTGGTCCTCATTCTCAGGCCAACGTCTCCATTGGCCCAGGGCCAGGAATGTGCAGGCATCCGACAGGATGCCAGACTTTGGATAATGCACTTTACGGGCTCGCGAAAGCCGTGCCCTCAAGGGGCTCATGGCTAGACCCAGGGGGGCCAACGGATGAAGATGGATCCAGAGGCCAGGACCCAGAGTAGGCACCTCTTCCCTTTTTTGTCAGGATTTTGGGTTTCCCTTTGCAACCCCTTTGAACCCAAAAAAAGGCACCCTTGTTATTCCTAGGGCCTAGGCGACTCTTGGGTCTCATTCTGCTTGCAGCCCTAAAACCCGAAAACCCCAAACCCTAAAGCCCTAAACCCCAAACCCCAAACCCCAAACCCTAAACCCTAAACCCTAAACCCTAAACCCCAAACCCAAACCCAAGGATCCCCCCTTTCCAGTAGCGTGGCGACAGAATCGGACGTGGACTTGCTGGCTCGGATCCAACGCATTACTCTGCAGTACCTCCAAAGCTTGCGCCAAAGGCCGCTGTTGGGTTCCTAAACATACACGTATGTGGATATTAGTTTCTAGATATAGATATAAATATAGTTACTAAATAGAGATAAACATGTAGATAAACAAGCAAGTAATGCATCTACATACATATATATATATACACACACACACACACATATATATATATATATATATTATACAAAATAATCAAGACGTCAATATGTAGATCAATCACAAGCCCGAAGGCCAAGCGTCTGCCTCACAGCGCGCTTGTTGGGACAAAGCTTTGGGAGGGATTGTACGCCTCGGGGCATCAATTGGATTTTCCTGGGCTGCCCCCACATTCACCATCGTAGGTAAGCATTGTTGCTCAGGGTTTTTTTGTTTGAAATTGTGTAGGCTGTGGGGTCCGAACGTGTGTTGACCGAAAGGTTTTGAACGAAAGATTTCAGGTTTATTGGTTTGGATTGTGGGAGTGCGCGGTCGGGCCCTAACAGAATTTCTCTGTTGGAGCCTGGGGTCCTGGTGGGGGGGGAGGGGCCTTGGGTTCTCCGGCCTTGGTGCCTTTTGGGAGGCATTTTTTTTGGGTGTTTTGCGATACCTTTCCGGGCCTTCCGGATCTTTTGAGCCGCCGAGGGCTGTTGGGGGTTCGGGGCCTCTTAGGGGTTTTGCTTCGAGCTTTGACCGAGTTGAAGTCAGGGTGTTTTTTCAGGCTCTCGGGCCTCCAAAGCCTGTTTGGGCCTTTCTGGACCCATGCCTTTGGGGCCTCCCTGCCTTTTTGAGAAAGTTGAACATTCGGCCTCCAGGGACAGTTTCGTCGAGCGCGGCTTTTGAAGCTTCACTTGGGGTGACGGGGCTTCTTTCCGAGCCAGTTTGTTTAGACAAGCATCTTTGAAAACTCGGAATGACATCACATACATTTTCTATTTATTCCCCCTTGTTCCCCACTTGAGGCTTTAGGGTTTAGGTAAGAGTCTGGGTTCAAAAAAGGTTTAGGGTGAGGACATCAAGCCTGACGCAACAGGGTTTAGGGTTTAGGGTGCGAACAGCTGGTGTTTACCGAGGAAGCACTTATGCCTGCCAGGATCGAGCCAGGTAAGCAGTGGGTAATGCTTGTCGTTTGCAAAACAGGGGCGTGTCGAGGTTGACAAGGGCAGCCCAGGAGCAGTTAAATCTCAAGACACACAGCTTGCAAGCACGGAGAAAGAGCTCGGGTTCAGCTCAGGGTCTTTCTGCGGGTTGAACCTTCGGACCATCTTTTTAAGGGTCGGCTGTTGGCATGGGGGGCGTTTCGAGGGTGGCTGAAACGTGGATACGGGGTTCTCATGATGTCAGCTGTGATTCTACTCCATCTACTCGTACCTCTGAGTTTCTGTTGCTCCCATGGCCTGGGTGAACACATGACCCCCCCTAAAATCCCTAAACCCTAAACCCTACAACCCCTCCGGCCGCGCCAGCTCCGCGTCATTCGCGGTGTGAACTGCGGGCCGGGGACCGAGAAGTTGAAGCTGCCCATCCTGAAGTCGAGACAGCACCTCATTGCTTACAATCGATGGAGACGAGTGACCATGGGCCCCAGGTCGCAGCATTCCGCCCTCGTGACGCAGGTTGGGAAGAGAGCTGCTGTTGAGGGAGGGGACAGCGTCAGCTTGCTTCAGCTGGTTGACGTTGCCTGCGCGCGTTGGGGCGCAGGATGGCAAGCTCCTGACCTTCGGCACTGGCTGGTTCGGGAGACTTGGACACGGGGTGAGAGCCTCGTGTGTGGGATCAGAACCGACACACACATTCAGGGAAGCTCGTCGCAGACCGTTCCATGATAGAGCTGTCCTTGCAGCTTCATGCAAATGTGATTTGGTTGGCCCGAGGATGTGAAGAACGAATATGTTCCGGCACTAGTCCGGGCTCTCAGCAGTATCTGGGGTCAGATGCCATACTCGAGGCTCGGCTATCTTCTTGTTTTGCTATTTCATACAGCATACAGATGTCCTGCTAGCGCTGCTGGCGGTGTGCAACCCACGCAACAGGAAGGATTGTACCCCTAAACCCTAAGCCCTAAGCCCTAAGCCCTAAGCCCTAAGCCCTAAACCCTAAACCCTAAACCCTAAACCCTAAACCCTAAACCCTAAACCCTGAACCCTAAACCCTAAACCCTAAACCCTAAACCCGAAACCCCAATCCGAGTGTGGCAAAGCGTAGTCTCTGACCTGGGCGCCGAAGAGAATCCTACCATGTTCTGGAGTTCAATTCGCGAGCTGCTCCTGAATCCCCAAGTTGGCTCATATGGGGTTTAGGGTTTAGGGTTTAGTTCAGGGTTTAGGGTTGAGGGTTGAGGTTTAGGGTTTAGGGTTGAGGGTTTCTCCTACAGGAACAGGAACTTGGAGAACAACCATCCCGTTCCGCGACCGCAGCGGCCACCCAAAGGTGCCCATGTCCAGCCACGTGAAGGAAGTCCACTGCGCCATGTGCCCGAAGCGCTGTTTCGGGTTTAGGGTTTAGGGCTTGGGATGCGATGTTTCCTCAGAGTCTGACGCGGGTCTCCTCAACGCTGGGATGCCGCTCTTTGTCTCGGCCAGGTACCACACCTGCATTGTTGACTCCAAGGATCAGCTGTGGGCGTGTGGCCAAGCAGCCCCTTCGTGATGTTCACCTGGCCTTGCAAAATCTGCAGAAAATTTCAGAAAGCAGGACCTTATCTTGCAAGACTGCGCATTCTCTGCTCGAGGTTTGCGGGAGGGACTCGTCTCTTTGCAGAGACGGTCAAAAACATGTGCCCGAGACTTGGTGTTGTGCCTTTTCACACATGTTGTGCCTTAACACGCCTCCCAAGTATCATATTGTATAACAGTATTTATATTATACTATATTGTATCATTGTATATTATGTTATGTTATGTTATACCATTTTCCTTGCTTCCAATTTACAGTATTTCTACAATCATATAAGAAGATCATGGTCTTATTGTATACCGTACTATGAACATATGTCATATAGCGCACATGCAAGAGCCAGACAAGTACAGAAAGAACCCAAGATGAAGCTCGGTTGTCCTGTCCTTGAATGGGCTGGTTCAGAGAGTTGGCACATGCCTCCTAGGTGTCATATTAAGTCATATCGTAGAACAGTATGTCATGGGATATGATACCGAGGCTGTCCCCGATTCTCTTCGAGCCCTTTCAGCAAGAGGGAGAGGTCCGATGTGTTCGCTCGCCGAAGCCTCGGAAGTTTTCTAAACCCTAAACCCTAAACCGTAAACCCTAAACCCTAAACCCTAAACCCGAAACCCCAAAAGAGTGACCGCTCTTCGCTGCGGGGGGAGGCAGGCTTAGAATCTGGATCATGCCACGCAGCCACAAAGCCTGGCCGGCATCCGGGGGACACATGTGGTCATTTCTCTGAATTGGGGTTGCTTTGGGCTTTGGGGCATGCTACTATAAGGCGGCCCCTAATAGTTAGGGGTAACAATTCAAGAAGAGACCATCAGTTTGAGCACTGACCATGTTGCTGTCAGTTAGAACTCCCTAGTCCGACCCCAGAGCCCCGCTGGAGGCTTGCGGCTTGCGAGCAGCACACGCTCGTGGCAACTTATCGCCAGCCCTGTGCCCGAGAAGACGTTGCCAGTTAGTCCGGCATGGAGACTGGAAGTATGCTCACATACGTTTTCGCCCAGGGACAACCCAGATGATACCGAGCTCTGGGTTTGGGGCCCGTGGCTAAGGATGAACCAGGGAGCCATAAGAAGCGTATCGCAGTGTGAGCGGAGGAGACCGGCTGTTCACCTGTGCTCCCTTACACCCCAGTGCTTGTAGTAGCTTGTAGTAGTGTTTGCGTGATGGCCATGATGGCACTGTGCATTGCCTCCTGAATAAGCCCTCATAAGCCCTCTTGTTTCCACCGCTTCGCTGCCGGAGCTTTCAAGCCTGCTGCTAGCATGGCCTTGGTGGCGGCGAGCCTCGCCAGCCATGCACTGGATCCGACCTGGCAGCCTCTGCCCGCAAGGCCTTGCCTGGGCTTTGTATGGTTTAGGGTTTAGGGTTTAGGGTTTAGGGTTTAGGGTTTAGGGTTTAGGGTTTAGGGTTTAGGGTTTAGGGTTGCCGATTCAGTGAAACAGGGGATGGAGTGGGGCAGAGCATGATTCGAGAGGTTTGGGCTCAGCGCGCAAGCTTCGTCGAACATTTTCAGCTTACTCAACTTCCTCACACGCCTTGCGATTGATGGGAGTGATCCAATGTGCTCTCAAACCTCTCCTTCAGAATCCCTATCCTAGTCCCGGCCTGCATGGTATATGTTTGTCCCAGCCAACTTTCCCCCAAGTCCTCGAAGTAGAAAGAAAGGCTCATCCGAAGACCGAGTCCCTGGCAAGGGGATCTCTCTCTCTCAACGGAAAACCGGGCCCCTGCACGCTCCCACTCTCTCCCCTCCCACAAAGAAAAACAGAGCATAAACCCTAAACCCTAAACCCTAAACCTTAAACCCTAAAGCCTAAACCCCACTTCCAGGAGGAGTGTGAGGGTGGTCAGATCCCTTCCGTCTTCGAGGCGGGAGGATGCGGGAGAGTGGGCGTCCCTTGCTTGGGGGGTCTGTTAATTAGGGTTTAGGGTTAGGGTTGAGGATTTAGCGTCTAAGTTTAGGGTTTAGGGTTTAGGGTTTAGGATTTAGGGTTTACAGGTCTGACGCTTCGAGTACCTGAGAGAGGGAGAGGGTAACTCTACGGCTCGAAGAGAAAAAACGGCGCTCACTGACCCGCAATCGGCACTCAAGTGCCTTTCTTACTGGCGGTAGGATTCTGGAGCACCGTAAGAAAGCGTGGGTCGCAACATGCGGCAGCCATGGGAAAAACAGCCCCAGGGGTCCCCAGGATGCTCCTGTAAAGGTTTCGCTGCATTCCCGACACTTTGGGACACACTTCCGGTCGCTCGCTGGCTACCCTTGTGCACGCCAGTCTACACCATGGAGCAGGAACAAAGCAGGGCTCAGGGTCGCTACTTAGCCGGGCCTTGAAGCTTTGGGTAGGCGGATGACATCGTTATGTTAGTAGCTGGCTAGTAGGTTGTCCTACATCATAAAACTGCATAAGATGGGTGAGAACAAAGGCTCATAGTCATGTTCCTGTACCATTGTTCCTTGTAGAAGCCGCAGGTCGCACCGACTCCGTGCCTGCGTGGCCTTCACTGCCTGTGTGAGTGCTCTTCGAAGTGCAAGGGTGCTCAGAAAACTGGGGAGGCGGCTAAGAGTCTCGGCGTTCAAGTGAGATAGGGGAGATGTGTATCTGAGGAGTGTGAATTGTAGAGACGTGGTGGCAGATGGTGGCAGCATGATAGGGGCGCTCCGACATCCTTCGGCATCCTTCGCGCGCATGCCTCGTCTGTCCTCTGTCGACTCTTGTACGGTGCCTGAGCGCCTGCGAAACCCGATGCCTTTCAGGACATGTGGCTGTTCGTGCACAGGAGGAGCTCCTCGGCTCTGCATCGACGGCAGCGAAGCTGTCTCTGCACCGAAAACGGAGCGTTCGCAGTGAAGGCAACCAAATCAGCTGTTTTGTGGAATGCATGATGAAGATCGTAAAGATATACAATCTTAACATTGTAAGTGTCAGTATCATATCATGGATGTCATGAACATGAAGCGAAAGTTTCGCCTTGCGCACGTTCATAACTGATATCACTAATCTCTCGGATATGAGTCGTATCAAACCCTAAACCCTAAACCCTAAACCCTAAACCCTAAACCCTAAACCCTAAACCCTAAACCCTAAATCTAACCCCGAAGCCCTAAACCATGAGTATCCGCTGAAAATGTCTGAGGCCGACGGTGGGCACCCCCGATGTCGAACCGGAGGAGCCTCTCTACACCCTGGAGCCGGCAGTCTTGGGGGCCGCACCCAATCTTTCCTTCATGAGCCTTGGAATTGTGGGGTTTAGGGTTTAGGGTTTAGGATCTATGAATGCTTCTTGGATGCAGAGAGTTCGTCCCAGGCAGGCAGTGCAGCAGTCCTAGCCGTAAAAAAAGGATCTATGAATGGAGAGGACTGGGTTTTTCCTCACAAGGGGGGGGGGAGGATGGGTGCGCAACTTTTGGGTTTGGGGACACCGAAGGTTTTAAGAATTTCCGACCTCCCCACCTGGCTGTGCATGCACTTAAAGACTGCCGTTCTAAACCCTAAACCCTAAACCCTAAACCCTAAACCCTAAACCCTAAAACCTAAACCCTAAACCCTAAACCCTAAACCCTAAACCCTAAACCCTAAACTCTAAACCCTAAACCCTAAACCCTAAACCCTAAACCCAGGATTGAGGAGGTCCCTTCTCGCAGCAGCTCCTCGTTGATTATCCACCACCGATTGGGCTCGGAGTCACACTACCAGGCCGTCACCAGGCAAGTGATTGGTTTAAGGGTTTAAGGGTTAAGGGTTTAAGGGTTTATGGGTTGTGAGCTCACTAGTGCACCCGCATGAGCTGGTGAACATGAACAGCTCTTTCCCACTTACCCGGCTGACTGCAAGAGACCTGGATGCAAAAAAAAGGGTTTATGGGTTTAAGGGTTTAAGGGAGCTCCGTTTCTCAAGAGTTGTCTCCAATTCTACAGCTCTCCAGACGACAAGGGAAATTTTTAGCCGGATGCTGGTTGCCAGCAACATCTGTGCCAGCACAAGCAAGGTGCAGCATGACTTCAAACGCTCCAACCTCTTGGTGTGAGAGGCTTCTGTTGGAGGAACCACTTCGACTTGTATGATGCCCTAAACCCTAAACCCCAAACCCCAAACCCCAAACCCTAAACCCTAAACCCTAAACCCTAAACCCTAAACAAGAACTTGCCAAGGGCCCAATCCATCTAAAGAGTTGGCGCCGGTGTCTGCGCTGATGGTTCTCGAGCAGCTCAGGTGCTCAAGCTGGTTGAAGAATATCTTCCGCTCCTTGACTGCTGTGATACCTGGGGGTGTTACGAAAACACGGGACCCCTCATAGAGTCCCCAAGAGTATGATTCCCTGACATTCCATAAGGACCCCAATAGGGTACCCCGAATTTCGGAAACCCCCGCTTTGAGTTGCCGTTGGGGGGGGCGGGACCCCAGGCACGCAGCATCTAAGGCTTTAGGAAGTTTCGACGGTTTCGGCCTTCAGCTGATGCTGACAGTCTTTTCGACGGCAGCCCCCATGACTTCTTAGGAAGTTTGACATCTACAATTGCGCCACCGCACTCCACAAATGTGGCTTGAATGCGCGGGATGACGAGCTTGCGACCAGGCCTTCGTCTTGCAACTGATGTGCTTGGGTTTAGGGTTTAGGGTTTAGGGTTTAGGGTTTAGGGTTTAGGGTTTAGGGTTTAGGGTTTAGGGTTTAGGGTTTAGGGTTTAGGGTTTAGGGTGGGTTTAGGGTTTAGGGTTTAGGGTTTAGGGTTTAGGGTTTAGGGTTTAGGGTTTAGGGTTTAGGGTTTAGGGTTTAGGGTTTAGGGTTTAGGGTTTAGGGTTTAGGGTTTAGGGTTTAGGGCTTTCGGATGCTTGTGCAAGTCATGTGGCCGGGGCCCCAACAGGAACCCGCAAGAGCCGCCCACGTGACCTCAGGCAAATTCAGTCTGATCCCAACTTCATCCGCCTTTTCTCCGCCACGTGCCCTGGCAAGACGCGGTGTTGAGCGGTGCTCTGTGCTGATCTTCCCGGCCCTTTCGTGAGCATGGGCTTCCCTAAACCCTAAACCCTAAACCCTAAACCCTAAACCCTAAACCCTAAACCCTAAACCCTAAACCCTAAACCCTAAACCCTAAACCCTAAACCCTAAACCCTACACCCTAAACCCTGAACCCTGAACCCTGAACCCTGAACCCTGAACCCTGAACCCCAAACCCATCTAAACCCTAAACACTCCCTCTTCGGTTGCCCCGTGGAGCCTGGCCAGACGGGTGGCAAAAAAAGCCCTAAACCCCCTCCCGAATCTTCCCAAGGAAGAAGCGAGCTCTGGAGATCGACTCTGTCTCAAAAGTGGACTGGGCTCCTAAACCGTGTTGCGGTTTAGGGTTTAGGGTTTAGGGTTTAGGGTTTAGGGTTTAGGGTTTAGGGTTTAGGGTTTGAGCCGCTGAGCAGCTCTTCCAGGAGCCGCGGGTGCTCTCCTCCATGCTTTGGGCTTGTGCTACTTGGGGGGCAGAAGGAGGTGTCAAGGATGCTTCAATGGCAGCCCTCAGTGAGAGTTTCGTCGTTCCCTATAGCTGTGGTATTGCTGAGGCCAGGCTCAATATTTATGACAGCGAGCTCACGACGGCTGTTGCCACAGATGCGACGACCCGGATGAACCAGCCCTACGGCAAAGAAGTTCCTGCCAGCTCGGGACATGCCTCAATGTCATACTTGAGTGCTACAATGCTGTAGCAGCAGTTCTGGGCACCTGGGTTAATGCTCTCTGTGCAGTTACGGAGTCAGTGAGTAGTTCTGCGTCACGAGCAGTGCCTCGTTACGGTAGCATGATTTGAGGGGTACGCCAACCTTAAGAACTGCACAGCCCGTGAAGAAGCGAGTGCCCTTTCGCACAGCTTCCTCTCAACAAAAGCTTCCCAGCTTGCTCCTTTGCTGTGGACATACGAGTTCCTCCGATGGCCACCTTGATACGGGAAAAGCCCGCATCTTCCATCATCCCTGCACCCAAAACCCTAACCCTAAACCCTAAACCCTCAACCCTAAACCCTAAACCCTCAACCCTAAACCCTAAACCCCAAAC